TGTGTGTGTGTGTGTGTGTGTGTGAGTGTCCCTGGACAAACTAAAGAATAATAATAATAGTAAATTAAATTAAATAATTATTTAAAAATTTTTTCATATCAGGACCAGCAGTTGACATAATAGCTATGTCGCTGGACTCCCATGTAGTCGACTGCAGTTTGAGTTCCAGACCTGGTGGCTTAAACTCATGCTGGGCGCATGTGCGTGCGTGCCCAAGGTCCCAAGAGGAGAATGGAGAAGGGATTGTGGTGTGGCCATCCCCCTTTGGGGGTGATTTCTTGCTTTCTGTCTCCCTGTCTCTGTCTTTCTGGCGAGCACAAGTGACCGATAGCAAAAATTTCTCCAAAAAATTTTTTTCCGTATCATGTAAAAGCATTACTCATTCAGAATAAATAAACAAACCTACTCATTTAAATAAAACATAACAGGATAATGACTAGCACTTGTTCTTGTCCACTCAGCACAGTATAGAACTGTGCCCTTCATCACGAGATGCTGACCGGGTCAAGGGGGGGGGGGGGATGCGTTCCAGGATATTCCAAGGCCCTTCTGCAGCATGGATGTGGATTAGGGAATTCCTTATCAATGGTGCAGCAAGAAGCTGGTCATGAGGGTCTGGGGGGAGGCCGAAGAATGCTGGATGGGCCTAAGAGTCTTTAAAGGTCTTGCAGGCCTGATTGTCAGACCATCCAAACCCTACTCCTGTCTTCGGATCAAACTACATTTGTCCCCAGGCATTGCTCACTGGCACCTGGGATGACACAGAGGCTGGCTGCCCTGGGGTTTTCCTCTTGAGGAGTAGGAGCTATGGGGTGAAAGGTGAGACAGGCTGTCAGTGATCATGGCAAGTAGAGCCCCATTCTCTGCTTTGACTCTTGAGATGTTCCTGCCTAAGAGCAGGGGCCATGGAAAAAGCATCAGATTGGGGACAACAGGCATTAGAAAAGCCTTTGTAGGCCTCAGTTTTCTCCTCTGCAAAATAAGTAGAAGAAAGCCCTACTTTCAGATGGTGTTTGAGGCTTACATAGTGGATGCAGGGACACTTTATGCCCGTCGAGTGTGTATACACATGTGAACAAGGCTAATGACTTGCTCAGACTCATGTCTAATTGCTCAAGAATCCTGCTCGTGGGAAGAGCAAATGTAGGCGCTATGAAATAAAATGTTTATGGACATTGATCTTTATTAAAAGAAGACAAGGTTCTACCTACAGGTCCTTAATCACTGGCTTGGGGGTAGTCCCTCCACCTCTGCCAATCATTGCCACAGACTCACCAGTTCTCACTGGAGGCCCCCGGGGCAGCTCCTGCTGCCTGGTTGGGAGCGAGCTGGGGGAGGAACAAACCCTCTGCAGCACAGTGCTTCTACCTCTGCCCATGCAGTTGCAAGAACCCTGCCCCAAGGGGTGAACAGCAAACCACAGGAAACTAAAGGGTGACTGGCTCTGGGAATGTGTCACTTCCTGCTTCTGAAGAAACTCTCCTGAGGGCGAAGGCCACAGGGGCTCTACCCAGGGGTGGGGCAGGGCTGTAGGCAGAGAATCCCTTCTCTTCAGAGAAACTCACACCCTTCTGACTCTGTCCTGGGGCCAGGTGGAGTCAGAGTTGGTTCTGAGGAAAGACAAAGCTCCTGGTGAGGCTGGCGAAGACACAGAGTGGCTGCTGGGACTTCAGTCAGCTAGTTCTGGGGAGGCGGCCTGTAAGAATGGGCCCTCCCTGCACCTGAACCGCCAGCTCTCAGAATGTCCCTTGGAAACTACCACTATGGCCCCCTCCCTCGGGAAGACGAAGGATGAGAACTGACCCGAGTTCACACAGCTAACGGTGCTAGAGCAGAGGCAGGATCCAGGCTTCCTGTACTCTAAACTCACTTGACCCACAGCTGGAGTAAAGAGGGGAGGGAGCCGTACCAGGCCGGCTGTGGGATGAGGCCTAGAGAGTGTGGCAGGAAGGATGTGGAGGTACAAAGGGGAGGAGGATAGAATCACAAGAGCAGGTAGCTGGGCCCTTTCCTGAAGGCCCCAGGGAGCCATGGCAGGTTAATGAGAGCACAACAGCAGGAAGGATTTTGGGTGCTTGAGCGGTGGATGGATTAGAGGAAAGACTAGAAGGAGGATGACCAGTTAAAGATGCCAATTCAGGGGGCCGGCAGGTGGTGTGGTGGTTGAGGTGCTAGACTCCCACATGGCCGACCACGGTTCAAGTCCCAGACCTGGCGGCTTGCTTTCTCACTCCCCCTTTCTCTCTGCCTGTCTCTCTCTGTCAAAATTGAAGAATAATGATAATAACTATAATTAAAAAGAAATCTTTAAAAATAAAAAAGATGCCAATTCAGGGACCAGCAGTTGGCATAATGGCTATGTCACTGGTCTCCCTTGTAGTCAACCGCGGTTCGAGTCCCAGACCCAGTTGCTTAAACTCACGCCAGGTGTGTGTGCGTGCGTGCCCAAGATCCCAAGAGGAGAACGGAGAAGGGATTGCAGCGTGGCAATCCCCCCTGGGGAGTGATTTCTCACTTTTTGTCTCTCTGTCTCTGTCTTCCTGGCAAGCGCATGCACCCTATAGCAAAAACCTCTCCAAAAAAATAAAAAAGATGGCAATTCAGAAAGGACACTCTTAGAGCCCTTAAAATCCAGTCTCCTTGACACATTCCAGCACCGTGAAGAATTCTGAGCTGGTGGGGCAGGAATCTGCAGCCTGGGTGCTCTCAAATGGAGGGGTACTATGTGTTGGGGGGGGAATACTGGGGAAATGACAGCTTTGTCCTCTGAGTAGGGTCAAGCCAGAGAAATAGGGAGGAGATTAAACAGGAGGGTAATGGTTGATTCTGGAGGGTGGTCCCTCTCCGAAGTCAGATACCCGACAGGCGGATCTGCTCAGAGCCAGGCTGCTGGTGAGACCCTGTCACTCACCTGTCCCCGAGGTGAAGCCAGGCTGCTGGAAGTTGTAGTTCTTGATTTCACTGTACCATCTATCAGCCACCTCCTTTCCTGTGGGGAAAGACACTGTTCTAGAATGCAAAAACAAAATCCACCCCCAGGGGAAAAAAAATCCACCCGTTCCATATTCCTCCATTTTAATCCATTAACCCCCTAGCCATGCCCTGCAGTTCTGACAGATATCTGACAAAGCACCAATGAGCTTGGTCCTCTTGGTTGCTCCTTGCAGAGGACTTCTGCCATGGTATGTCCAGGCTGAAGAGAGGACTTGTTGAGGGCTGGAAAGAGACCTAGCCTGGGGGTGGGGACCTGCATCCTACATCCTGTCCCCGCCCTGCCACTGACTTGCTGTGTAGTCCTGGGCTTTTCCTCTCTGGGTCCCTGTACAACAAGCAGGTTGAATGCAGTGTACTCCGAGGGACTGCTAATGATGCCAGGTTTCTTAGAGACACTGCCTTCATCCTACCCCATGTCTGATTTTGAAATTTCCATAGAAACAAAGGCAATTAGGCTGCTAGGCCAAGGGTCTCCACTACAGGCACCTTCATCTGGAACAGTCAGGACTACACAGGTGATGATACTAAAGGATATTGGAATGGGAGCTGCTGGTCCCGGCCTCCGGCAGGGGTCTAGACCCTCAAACATTAATGTGTGCCTGAATCACCCAGAGCGGGGCCTATGGTTCTGCGTTTCTAATGTGTTCCCAGCTGCTGCTGCTGCTGCGGGCCTGTGGACCACACTGTAGCCTCTCCTGGGGGCATTTAACAACTCTGAAGCTTGTGTCCTTCACAAACCAACTATATCCTTTCTCTGGAGGAGAGACCAGGTACTGGCAATTTTTTTTTTAAGGTTTTTGTCATAGGGTGCGTGCTTGCCAGATAAAGACAAATAAAGAGAGAGTAAGAAATTATGCCCTGGGGAGATGGCCACACCGCAATCCCTTCTCCTTCATTCTCCTCCTGATTTTTAGGGCATGTACGCACATGCTCCTAGTGTGCTTTTTTTTTTGGGGGGGGGGGGAGATTTTCACTGTAGGGCGCGTGCACTCGCCAGACAGAGAGAGACATAGAGACAGAAAGCGAGAAATCACCCCCCAGGGGGGATGGTCACGCCACAATCCCTTCTCCTCCATTCTCCTCTCGGGATCTTGGGCACGCACGCACACACGCCCGGCGTGAGTTTTACGCCACCGGGTCCGGGACACGAACTGCGGTCGACTACGTGGGAGTCCAGTGACATAGCCATTACGCTAACTGCTGGTTCCCCTCCTAGTGTGCTTTTGAAGCTGCTAGCTCCAGGACTCAAACTGTGGTCTGTCACATGGGAGTCCAGTGCCTTAACCACCATGCCACTTGCTGGTCCATGCATTGGCATTTTTTAAAAGCTCTGGGAAAAGATTCCATATGCATCCAGAAATTGCCTTAGAGATCACTCAGGCAACCCTGTCTGTAGAGATGGGGAAACTGGGAGGGTAGAGACTTGCTCAAGGGTAGAGACTTGCTCAAGGTACCCCAACGAACCACGGCAAGGCTGGATAGAACTCCCCCTTCTTTTTTTTTTTTTTTGAGAGGTTTTCGCTATAGGGTGCATGCGCTCACCAGACAGACAGACAGAGACAGAGAGACAGAAAGCGAGAAATCACCCCCCAGGGGGGATGGTCATGCCACAATCCCTTCTCCTCCATTCTCCTCTCGGGATCTTGGGCACGCACACACACGCGCCTGGCGTGAGTTCAAAGCCACGTGAGTTCTACACTGGGTCCGGGATGCGAACCGCAGTCGACTACATGGGAATCCAGCAACATAGTCATTATGCTAACTGCTGGAACTCCCCCTTCTGATGCCCAGAGGCTTGCTCATCCTCCTCCCCTGAGCCACCAAGGCTATAGCCTGAGCCTGGGGAGGACCCTGCCGGTGGAGGGCGAGGCCTCTGACAGGGCTCCTGCCTTCCTCAGCAGCAGGCATGCACTTCTAAAGGGGGCCCTGGCTCAAGCTGTGCTGGAAAACCATGAGGACTCAAGGAGCTCCCCCAGGAACTCCCAGGAATGCGAGACCGGATGGGGTGAGTCATTCTCCCTTTGGAGTTTGGAGAAAGCTTCAGAGAGCGAGATAACTCTCTCCAATATTTTTCCTAAAAAGTTGCTTCAGGGCTGTCAGAGCCAGGAAGCTCAAGAATGTTTGGTTAAAAAAAAAAAAAATCTGGTCAGTGTAGTGAGATCATTCCAGACCGAGACCTTGGATGAAGGCACTTTCTTTTCCATTATTTTTTGTTCCCAAAATGGGGAAAGGCTCTATTGCTTTTCTCCAGTTATAAAAGTAACATGCCAGCCCTGTAAAACAAGCAAACATGTAGAAAAACGTGAAGAAAGTCCAGTTTCTCAGTAGCTGGGGATACCTTGGGGCCCACAGAATCAGGCTAAGTAAGACTGTGCAGAAACTGTCTCCCCACCCCTGCTCCTCAGCCTGGAAGCGCTCTCCAGCAGCAGGCCAGTCAGCCTGACTCATCCCTGTGTCCTTGGCACCACAGCACAGGCCTGGCGCTGAGCTGGCCATCAGAGACCTCATGGTGAACTGAAGTCAGCCTGGGAGCAGATTCAGGGAGCCCTGGCTTTCCTATCCATTTCTGGGCCTGTGGCTACACCACAGAGGGCACTGGGCCCAGCAGGGACCTGGGGAGGCTCGGCCTAGGCCCAGCTCCTGTGGAAGGTAGTAAGGGGCTGAGATAGCAACCCACCTGTCTGATCGTAGGATGCCCAGGCCAGGTTCTCCCCGCACTGGCCGCGACTGGACTCTGGGCTGTGCTTGAGGATCCTCGTGCTGGCCAGGGCCTCGGAGTACCTGCCGAGTCCATAGTGCTTCCTCAGAGCAGGCACAATACAGGGAATCCCACTCCCCTCCAAAATGTGAGCCCCAAGCTGGCACGGCCAAGCTTCTTTCCCTGCCAGGGGCTTACAGAAGAAAAAGAGGAGCAAAACACCTACACAGCTTTGAGCCCCCCAAACGCCTCATTTTACAGAGAGGCAACCTGAAGCTTGGATAAACACAGGGATCTGCCTAATGAGTGGCAGAGTGGTGTTGAAGTCTGGCCGTATCTGACCCCCAAACCCACGGCCCTCCAATCACCCAGGGCCCCTCTGTGACAGCAGCAGTAGTGCTACGGAGGGCCCAAACCACCTGGGGTGCTGGGAGTACTCACTGTTGAGCCTCCCGGTTGAGCTTCTTGCAGAGCGTCAGTGGGGGCACTCCGTGCTGCTTCCGGTACTCATTGTGGGCCTTCAGGACCTCCTTGTTAAACTCTTTGGAAGCTAGAATGATTGCAAAGAGGGGGACGGCTCAGTACAGAGACCCAACAAAAATATAATGACATGTTTCAGAGCCAACACTCGGCTCACACCTGAGCCCACAAGGGCAAGCAGCTGCTCCCTTCCTACACCTGGAACCCCAGCCAAAAGGCCCAGCTCCGCACAGTTGGCCACCCTGTTTCCACCTTGTTGTCACCCTTCACATGTCTGCACAACTGAACCCACTGGACAGTGCAGGGCTTTATGAGCTGTGTGAAGATTCGGTCTTGAGGGCCAGCCTGTTGCAAGGTGGTTCAGGTGGCTGGATCCCACATGGTCAAATATGTGGTTTGTGTCCTGGGCCTGGTGGCTTGAGGCGCCTGTTGGATGTACTCAAAATCCCAAGGGAGAGATGGAGGAGGACTGCAGTATGACCATGCCTATGGGAAGTGCCTTCTCACTTTCCCAACCTCTCTGTCTCCCTCCAGCAAGTACATGTACCTCGATCAAATTAAAAAAAAAAAAATCCAGTCTTTATTGAATACAGTGAGAAGGTGCTGAGTGGCAGCAGGGGAGTGAGCTGTAAGATGCGTTTCGGGGCGACCCTGCCAGCCACAGACAAGAGGGTGGACTAGAGCCGCAGAGCAGTCAGTCAGCTGCAGGACTGCAGAAGGAAAATGTCTGAAGATGGGGCTGGACAGAGGCACAGTGGTAAAACGCTGATGCCCTAGGAGGCTGACCCACATGCAAAGATTCTGGGTCACATCCAATGACCTCCCTAAATATACCGTATACCCATCAGGCACACAGGTGCCCATGATCTGGGGCTGGCTGAGGCTAAGGCTGGGGGTGGATTGTGGCATTCAGGTCCTGTTGGGGGATGCTATCTCTTTCTCTTTCACTCTGTTGCCTTCATTCATGGATGAAATAAATAAATGTTAAAAAGAAAGGGATGAGGGAAGAGCATTACTGGGGAGGTGGAGTAAGGGAAGAGAGTATAACAAAGAAAGTGGTGGTGATGGCGGGTGAGTGGTATGATCAGCTGGGGTCAGGGCTGCAGTGGAGGAAGAAGTGAAGCCTGTGCTCATTTGGGTTATGACCTCAGAAAGGGCAAGGTCAATGGGGCTGTGGTTAGGGAGAGAGTAAGTGAGTGAAGCCAAAGGCCAGCAAAATCAATAATGAGCAGAAGTCACACAGATTTGGAGCCAAAATGCAGTCCCATCCATCTACTCATCCATCCTTCCAACATCACTAATCTGTACTTCCACCATTCATCTAACACTTACCCATTTATCCATCCAGTCCCAGTCTAACCATCTGTTCATCTGCTCCCTGGGAACCTCGCTTATGCCAGGTCCTACTCTGGGTGCTAGGTATACAGAGACAAACCAGCCATGACCTGCCCTCCAAGGCTTGCACACAGTAAGGAGACAGACTCGTGAACACTAGCAGTGTGGTAAGCACCAAGATTCAGGTAAGCACAAGTGCAAGAGGAATGGGAAGGACAACCTAACAAGGTCTGGGGGATCAGGAAGGAGGGGATCCCTGATCTGAGGCACCAAAGGTATCTGGACAGGCACTAGCCAGGCTGATTGTGAGGGCACCAAGCATCATCCCTAGGCATCTGGGAGTTCCCCTTCACAGAGATGGGAGTGAGTTGGGTAGGTTGTGAGGGACACAGAGGGCCTTTCCATAAGCTAATCCTATCTGGCCAGAAGTATAACCCCCAAGTGATGGCTATGGGGTGGCCAGGTGTAAGTTGGAGCATGAAGGAAAGACCATACTCCTTCCTCTGCCCCAGGCCACATTCACCAGCGCCTCTCTTCTCCTCTGATGCCTTTTCACCCAAGGCTGAGGAGATGCCCCAACAGGAAGTTCTCTTCCCCTCACCCATGGCCAGATCCTATGTCTCCTGGGCCTTCAAGTCAAATCCCATGGAGCCTCTGAGGGGTGGCAAGGGGAAGAAGACCTAGGGCCTGACCTCAGGGAGCTTGTGGCCAGCTGCAGACCTACCTAGTAGGTGATGACCACAAGTCATGCATCACCGGTGGAGCCATGCGAGGGCTTTATGATAAAGAGTAAGCGAACTGATGCGGAGGACTTGGCTCGGCAGGGCTGTCCAGTGAGGTTGAGTCTAAACCCCAGGATCTGGGAGGTTTTGGTTGACAGGCAAAAATGGGAGACACAGTGAGCAAAGGCAGGGAGGGGAACACTGATAACGGTGACTCAGCATTCAGCAGAGGGTGGAGCCACAACCTGAAGTTGGCAGGCCAAGAGGCAGACCAAGACCTTGCTGATACGAAGATGTCAGGTCTACCAGAAGGAAGGAACTCAGGGAGGTGTTGTTTAATGTATATAGAGTTTCAGTCTTGCGAGATGACAAAGTTCTGGAACTCTGTTTTGCAACCATGTAAATATACTTAACACTATTGAACTGTGCACTTCAATGTATTTTACCACAGTAAGCAAGGAAGAGTGCAGGTTTAGTAAGTTAATGTGGTACTTGGGAGTCACAGAGATGTTTAGTGAATATCTCCTGGGGAGAAGGCAGGAGCCATAGCAACTCATTGGAACTGGATAGGGTCTCGTTGACAACAGGCGAAGCCGTCAGCAGCGTAATGGGGCTGCCAAAACCCCACAGGCTCCTGGGACATGGGCTGCTTCACCTAACCCAGCCCCTCCTTCATACGAGAGGCAGTGATGATCTGCCGTTTTAGAGCCTGGAAACGTTACAAGGAATGGTTGCAGGTACTGGGTGCGTTCATCTGGGAGAAGAACAGACTCTGGAAGATACAGTGGAGGCCTCCAGTGAATCCTGGAACCCCATAAGGCCAAGCTGGGACCAGTGGGTAGAAAGGGAAAGACAGATTTCAGCTCAATGTAAGAAAGACCTTTCTCCCAGCCGAAACTTTCTGAAGACTGACGGTAAGCAAGGAAGAGTGCAGGTTTAGTAAGTTAATGTGGTACTTGGGAGTCACAGAGATGTTTAGTGAATATCTCCTGGGGAGAAGGCAGGAGCCATAGCAACTCATTGGAACTGGATAGGGTCTCGTTGACAACAGGCGAAGCCGTCAGCAGCGTAATGGGGCTGCCAAAACCCCACAGGCTCCTAGGACATGGGCTGCTTCACCTAACCCAGCCCCTCCTTCATACGAGAGGCAGTGATGATCTGCCGTTTTAGAGCCTGGAAACGTTACAAGGAATGGTTGCAGGTACTGGGTGCGTTCATCTGGGAGAAGAACAGACTCTGGAAGATACAGTGGAGGCCTCCAGTGAATCCTGGAACCCCATAAGGCCAAGCTGGGACCAGTGGGTAGAAAGGGAAAGAAGACAGATTTCAGCTCAATGTAAGAAAGACCTTTCTCCCAACCGAAACTTTCTGAAGACTGACGGCTCAGTACCTTGTAAGCTCTCTATCACAGAGACGATGCAAGCAGGTGAGCCCCTCTCAGAGGGACTCAGGCCCTGGATGGCAACCCAGCTGGATGGCCTTCAAGTCCTTTCCAAGTCTGAGAGCCCATAAGGTTGTAGGGGTGAGGTGAGAGAGACAAGATTTAACAACTGATCGAAGACTTCCAAGAGTTACCTACGCTTCTCTACGGGGACAACATGTTCAGGGCGAGTGTATGTATATAGGCAAGAGTCTGCATATGGGAGCACACAGTCAAGGTGGCAAGTGTCCTCATCTGAGTGACAGGCTCACAGGCCTGTCCAAGAGTCCCTCCCAGTTCCCACGTTCCTGGCAGGCCGTGGTGGGTCTACTAGGACACCATGGGAGATGCATGAGACCAGATGGTGTGTGCGATGGAGACCACAAATGTATCAAGGATGGCTCCCCATGGGAGAAGCACAGAAAGGACCAGGGGGCAAGGGACCTAAGCATTTGCTGGGGCTCTGAGGAGGAAGGAGAGATAAGAGGAGTGGCCGTGAACTAAGGTAAAGCCAGGTTAAAGGCACCCTGAGGGTTGGAGTCCGTTTGCACTGGGCCCTGTGGTGCTGTCGGCCTTGCAGTCTCCTTGGCAGAGAGGGACATACAAGGCTGCTAAAAACTAGGTCACTGCACTCCCATAATCTGGGAAGTAAAGAGAAACAAAAGTGAAAGTTCCTGTGCCCAACCCACGCTCAGTGCCCAGAAGCTGAAGCCAGGCATTGTGGCCAACATGGCAAGCTCCCCGGGCTCTGAAAGGGGTCAGGAGGTCCCTCTGGTAAATCAGGAGGGAGTCCTCGCTCCACGCTCCCCGGGCTCTGAAAGGGGTCAGGAGGTCTTTCTGGTAAATCTGGTGGGGAGGCATGGGGGCCCCACGACCACTCCTTGGGCAGCTCCAGGAGTTCCCTCCCACCACAGCAGATAGTCTGAGCCCAGGTGGCTTCTCTGAGTAGGACTTTAGCCCCAGAAGGCCAGTTATCAATGGTGACCACAACCAGCAAAAGGCACACCCCACTTCAGTAGAAAAACCCAAGAACACAGATAAACACTGTGGAAAAAACGTCTAAGAAATACTACCCTTCTCCCCTTCAGGTAAGGAGAACCTTCAAAGTCACTCAATGGTGAGGGTAGGGCAGGGATTACATCTTTGTTTTGCAGCAGAGTAAACTGAGGCTCAGAAGTCAGGCATCCTGAGGACCAGCCTGGGACAAGGGAGAAGCAGGCCCCCTCTCCTGTACGTGTGCATTCTTAACACTTGCTGGCCAACCATCCTTGGGTGCTGGGCTTATGTGAGACTGCCTTTACTTCGCATCACCTTTCCAGGGAGCTTCCTTGACCTTACCCATTTGTTTGATTAGGAAACAGACTTGAGAGGGCAGTAACCTACCCAAATCCCTACCACTTGCTCATGGGTGGGTCCTGCAGGAGGGCACCTGGCGCTGATGCAAAGGCCCTGTCTTAAGCCCCCACACCACACCCGCAGGTCTCAGACAATGAGAACCACAGAGAAGAGACAGAGGGTAATCCAGGAGACCCAGGAGGAGGGTCCGCCCAGCAGGACAGTGAAGGAAGCAGAACAAAGCAGAGGGAGGTGGCAGCTGCCTGCAGATCTCTGAAGGACAGAAGAGTCGGAAGGAACCAAGATTTCTCAAGAGTCTCCTCTGGGCCAAGCCCTTAAAAGACAGAGCTGCTTGAGCAGCCCCAAGCAACGAGGGACTATGGAGAAGTTTGGCGGAGGGTGGGGATTGTGGGGGGTTAGGGTAGGGGTGTGAGGGGGGATGGGAGGGTGCGGGGTGGTGAGGGATGTAGGGGGGAGAGTGGGGAGAGGGTCTGAGAGGGGGAAGGGGCAGCCAAGGCGGGCTCTG